AATGCCTTTTCTCCCCCTCAAAAGGCCCCTTCCAGTTGTCATTCATAAGGTGGAATGATTGCGTTGATTGTAGTTACCGAGGGGTTTATGTGCCTCTGTGAATTTGACACTCCTGAAGTATGTAGTTGGATGCTCTTTGGAATGAAGTGAATTTTTCCAGTCATGGCATTGGTCATTTTCTACTTGGCTACTGTAATTTGCTTGAGATGCAGATTAATATTCCTTTTCTCATTGAAGTTCTGAATTCCTGGGAAGATACGTCCTACAGTGCAACTGAGGTAATGTTAGGTGTCTGTTCTTAGAGAGTAGAGTGCTAAAAACATACCTGTTTGTTGTAATGCTACATTTAGGAAAGGACTCTGAAGCCCAGTGAACACAGTTTTACTTATCTAGTCTTATAACTGGCTCTTGAGAATCGGCTTTGCCTATAGATGATGTCTCTTGGTGCCCCTTGGTTCAGGTGAGGTTGTCATTCTGCTGAAGCCATTCAAATTCTTCTTTGTAATGCCCTAAAAAGCTTTTTCCATCAAGTCCTTCCCTGCTCTGATAATTGGTGAAAATCAAAAGCTTTACAACACCTTTCCAGAGCCAAATAATTTGCCTTTTCAGCTCATCTTCCATCCAGTGATGTTACCTTGGAAAACATCGGGAGGAACTTCAGCCATTATCTCCTATTGGGTGAGATTTTCCTTCCCAGAGCACAGATGTGGATGTGCAGGAGGCTGGGATGTGTGTCTTGGCTTAGTCTAACAGCAGGTTACCACCGCAGTTAAACATCTTGAAGGTCTGCAGTTTGGTTGCAGGGCAGACCTGCTTGTGGTGTCTGTGCCTGGCCTCTCTCAACAGGTATTTAAATTCTGATTCATGTTACTAGAGTTTCATCAAAACCAACAGCTTTTAAGTGTTGAAACAATCCTTCAATCCAGACACTGGTTTTAGTTCATCTGCTGCTTTTAGGCATGTCAGCCTTCTGGCAAAGCTGCATTCATTGTGGGCATTTGTTGCTTGCTCTTGCCTTGATTAGCCTCATCTTGCTGGAGAGTAAATGGATTCTATTCCAGAGCAAGGTGAAGCAGGGTGACAGTCTGCAACCTTTGTAATTGGTTATACCTGATGCAGTGAGATGCTTTTTTCCCTTTTAATATGATTGAATTCATGAAAAGCACTGCATGAGCAGAGTACCTTTCTTCCAAAACATAGTATTAGCAGAAATGGCCAAGCAGTTTCAAGGTATCACTTAGAGCAAAACACATTCATTGATCTTCATGGTACATATGGTGTCTGTAAGGATTAGGCCATGGGTTCTTGTGGGATGAGTGACTGGAAGTGTGCTGGGCAGTTTAGAGCTTTGCTATGTGTTTGTATTTCATGGTTTTCAGTGGATCAGAAGGAGGAGGCTCTCACAGCCTGTGTGCCAACGTGACATCTCTGATTTCCCCACTGAAGTCAATGAGGAGAGCCTCAGAAGTGGGCTGCACAGTGCACTGTCAGCATTCATATCTGCACACTGAATTCTGTTCTTCATTTTGGGGAGCTGGAGGCGTAAACACTCTTATAGGTTCGCTTGGCCCCTTTAAATGGTCTCTGCTGGGCTGCACTCTTGTAAAACTGGCCTGATGCTTTTAGGAGGTAAGAAAAAACCCCTGAAAATAGGTAATTGCCTTTCTAAGGCACCTCTGAAGCTGCCTGTGCTTAAACCTGAACTTATTTTGCAGGCAGAGTGCTACACTGAAAGTTCTTCTGGCCTCAGAAGAGGTTGTTTTTTAAAGATGGAGCCTATAGTTAAAGCCAGCATTGTCTGCAATTTGGACAACTCTTTATGCATCTTGAATTCTTCATCCAGAGAGATTTGGATTTGTAGATTGAATAAAGGTCTCTACTAGACAGTCAGAAAAAGCTTTTCTCAGACTGATTTTTTTTTTGTGTGTGTGTGTTTTGGGAGACCTTGAAAAACCCCAAAACCTCATGTAGTGATGAAAATTGCTGGGCTTTGATCTTAGGTTCTGGAAAGTGTTGTAATCCTTCAGTGTCACGCACACCAAACTTGTAAATCTTTATTAGAGGCATCAGATCCAACCTGTGTAGCTTCAGCTGCTCCACTTGCTGGTTTTCTGCTTTGCAAGCCTGGTGTTTGTAGAATCAGGTTTGATTTAGTAGGTAGCATTGTTTTGGTTTCATTACCATGGAGAGGCAACAGGGTGAAAGCAGCACAGCTCTTGTGTTCCATATGATGCACTGAAGAGTGACTGACAGGCAGGCTTTGGAAAGAGTCACTAATAGTTATGCTTGTCAAAAAGCCTAAGCCGTGACATAGTATGAGTTAAACACAATTCTGTTAATAGGAAGAAGCCAGAGACATTAGTTTGAGAAGCAAAGTTGGGGACTGGGGTTAGAAAGAAACTTCTGAGTTAGGTTTGTCTTGTGTCAAGCCTCCGCTCTGGGGTTGGCTTTCCCTGGGGTATCTGGTATTAGCCCTTTAGTTAACAGATTGTTCAGCTCAATGGACCCTTCTTGGGATGGGGTTCACCTATGAAGTTATATATTTACATTTCTTAAGCCTCTCTTACCCCTGACTAGACTTGAATATGGTTTTTATGTACAAAATGGCAGAGCCTGTGTACAACAGCTTAGGACTGAATAACTGCTTCCGTGTAGTCCCCTTGTGTAGATACCAGCTCCTTTACAGCAGAGTGGTAAGGTCAGCTTCAACTGACACTTCAGCTTCTTATTTTGGCTTTACTTGTAGTAAATGCAGTTCCATTCAGCTGATGAGTGGTGACTTGGTGTGCACGGGCAGAGCTCTGGATCTGATGGAACCAGTTCCCATCACAGAGAGGTCCGGCTGGTTCCTGCTGTGTCCAAACATGGGTAGCTGGTGTGATGGGTACTGATGTTAATAGTGCATTTTAAGGCTGTAATAGTGGAAAAACCAAGAAAGGGGTAGGAATCCTTAGGCTTAGGAACTTCCTATCTGGGGTAGGAAGCAGTTGCTGTGTGCCCATGTTAAGCTCTAGTTGGCTGTCGTGGAAATTCTCTCTATTTTAGAGACGTGTTGCCTTGTATCCTGGACTGGCAGGATTACCAGCTCAATCCAGTGTGATGATTCTAGTGGTTTCAGCCATAAGTTTCTAAATAATTCCTAGTTTAATTCCCAAATATTTTACCCCATCGTAATTAATTGATATTTAATTTGAATTCCTCTGTATTCAAGCCCTTGCATCCAAATAGAAAGCTGGCACAGTGAGACAGTTTATTACTACGCTGGGAGCTGGCCACTTGTTAAATAAAGCAAAGCTTGCCTAGCCAAGAGCTGGCAGAAGGAAAGCTTTCAGGAAGATGGAAAGGCAAATTTCTTGGCAGATGTTTTCAACCTGAGAAGTTCTTACAGTGGTGCTAGTTGAGCACACAGTACCCGAGGTTGTATTTCTGATCAGCTCCAAAAGATGTGAGTTTGGGTTCAAACGACTGCAGTCATCTCTGAAAGGAAGCTTGAGGCTTTCTATCTATTTTTATTGGTCCTGGATTCCCAGCCATGTACAAGGCCCCCATTGTTGAGCTCTCATTCCAATTTTTAACAGGCAGTCTGTTCCCTTAAGTAATTTCCAGCGTTGATAAATAGGTCTGGGTGGCTTGAACATGGCTCCAGTACCCATGTTCTGCCACAGAGGAGAGCAGGCAGTGGAGTCTCTCTTTCTTTACCACTCTTAAACACTAACTTCTCTTTCAGTCACTTGCTAACAGAGGGGTTTGGGGTTAAAGGGTGGTGGGATGCCTGCCCAAGGGAGCACTATTTGTCCTGATGCTCTTATTTCTCTTCCAGGTGAAACATGCAACCAACCAAATTGTGATGAACTGTGCTGACATTGACATTATTACAGCGTCCTATGCGCCGGAAGGAGATGAAGGTAGGATTGCTTTGTTACTGGAGCTTTTAGCTGTTAATCCATTTCATTTCAGACAGGAGGTGCTGCTGCCAACAGTTAACAACCCTGATTGCAACATTTTGTAAGAGTTTGATAAGCTAAACTACCCCTGGAAGCACAAAATCTGTTATCTAACCTTCGTTCTCTTGTCGTCGCTGCCCTTTACATCACATTTAAGTACATTACCTTGAGCTCCTGTGACATCTACGTTCTACTCCATGGTGCCCGCGTGTTGTAGGCAAAAGGATGTTTGACTGTTCTACATTATTAATCTTTATCCTGGATAACTGTGTAGGAACATGATCTGTACTGATGGACTTTGCAATATTGACAAAATCTGTGACAAGGGTTTAGATAAGGAATGCATCAATAATGGCCTGAAGCAGGAAATACTCATTGGGAAGGGTTTGGAAAAGTACAGAAGACACTTTATTGACATGTAGCAGGATGTTCCAAGGGTAAGGCAGCATGGGAAAAGGAGAGGGCCTGTAGGGGCAGGACAAGGGGGAATGGCTTTAACCTGCCAGAGGGGAGACTGACATGAGCTCTGAGGCAGAAGCTCTTCCCTGTGAGGGTGCTGAGGCGCTGGCACAGGGTGCCCAGAGAAGCTGTGGCTGCCCCATCCCTGGCAGTGTTCAAGGCCAGGTTGGACACAGGGGCTTGGAGCAACCTGCTCTAGTGGAAGGGGGCCCTGCCTGTTGCAGGGGTTTGGACTGGAGGAGCTTCAGGGTCCTTTCCAACCCAAACTAGTCTGGGATTCTATGATGATTCCATGTTCCTGTGGCTACTAGATTTGTATGTTGCAAGTAGAATGTCTACAACGAGTCTTTGCATTTAAATTGGTTTGAATGATTTTTAATACAGTATTAAACCAGAGGGCTTCTTAAATACAGTTGAGATCAAGAGCAGAGCTTAGGTGCATGGGGAGCTCTGTCGTAAGGAAGTAGCTTTGGATGGGTGTGTTGTGGAAAAGTAGAGCTCACAGCAGGAAGTGCAGTCGTAGGGAGGGAGGGTGGCAGGGAAGAGTATTACCAAAGAGCTTGGAGCCTGGCCACTGGCTTTCGATAGTGAAAGAACAGAGCAGTGCTTCCTCCGTGCTCCATTCGGGCTCAGGGTTGTCCCCTGGTGCTCCAGTCCTGCCTGCGTTTCATTAGTGAGCTTCACTTGATTGGGTGCCCCGGGTTGCTAAGTGCTCCTGGAGCTATTTCATACACTGAGTAATGAGGTGATAACAAGAGTGGTGGTAATAGCAGGGTGTGTGTGGAGGCTCCTCCTCCTACCACCCTGCCGTAGGCCCAAACCACCTATTTTTATCATTGAGAAAATGAAAATGAATGGAAGAGGTACCTGGGAATAAAGGCTTTTTCCAGTCAAATCAGGAAAAATACATAAAATAGAGAGGATCTCTATTTTTGTGTATGGTATTTGTTATTTTCAGAGCTGATTTCCCTCTCTTTGGGGTCTGATTTTCTCTTCTTTTAACAGTATATACGTTGTAACTTCGAAGTATTAATAGTAGAGCTTAATGGAGACCTAAACCCAAGTACACTGCAAGTGAGTCTGTGACTTAAATCCCTCCATTCTGGTTTTTCAGACAGCCTTGAATGTGGTGCTCAGGACACGAAGGAACATGAGTGCGGCTTGTTGTTGCGTCCTAAATACAGTGCAGCTTTGTTGCATGTTTACTATAATGATACTCAGGCTTCATGGGGTTAAAACATACTTTTCAGTTTGGTAAACTGCCAGCTGGTGTAATGGCTTTGGAAGTAAAATTGCATGGAATTGGCAGGCTCTTTGCTGGCACCTGTTGATACAGATCCAGTCAGACTTACTAACGCTCCTATTGTGAGCAGCTTTTGGATGGGAATTGTATAACTGGTCTGAAATACAGCCCCGTGAACCAACAGAAGTATCAGCCAGATCATTTGGATGCAGTTCCTTAGGTGAGCCTCGTACCAGTCAGAGTATGTCTGAGAATGAGTGAGAAGTTAGGGATATTTTCTGCTTTAAAGGCTGTAGTGAGGAATTGTAACCTCTTAGTAATGTACCTTGGTGTCGGCTGCTTATCTTCCTTCAAGTGTGGCTCTGTTCTGAGCAGTAGCTGTGTGAAAAAGAGACCTTCTTATTAGCAGGTCCCTTTGCCTGGTTTGTGCAGGTGATCTGTTGACTTCTGTGCAGAATAGTTGATTCTTTCCCTCATAATTCTCGGTAGTGCCCTGTGGCTTGTGCAACAGGAACCTTGGTACAGCTGTGGGCCGTGCTTTCCCTCCCCTCCTGTTCACTCTTCTGAAGATGGATGCAGCAGAGGATAGAACTGAAATTTGAGATTTGAATGCAGATTTGCAGGGAAATCAGATTATTGCCCAATATTTGACAGGAAACTGAGGGAGGATCTCTGTAGCTTGAAAATCAAAGTCAAAAATGGTGCTGCATAATCCACACTTGAGTGACAGTGAATAATAAACTGGCAGAGATGGGTTGTGCAGTGCTTGAGAGTTGAAAAATCCTGTGTTTCATCACAAAAGCAGTGTAGTGATTGGAAGTGGAGGTTGTGGATTTGCTGTTTGTGCCAGGTATGCTGTAATGGAACAAAGCTACTCAAAAGACTTGAGTTTTCCAGTGCTGAAGTCATGACCAGCTCCTCCCATTCCTCAGAACAAGCAATTGGGTTTGTTTGTTCCAGAAGCTACTTTTTAGCATCCGTAGTCAAATACTTACAGTGCAGCCTTAGCATTTAGGTGTGCACATGATGTGCTCCCTTTGTCCAGATGGGTGACTTTGCTCAGCTAAATGAAGACCTGGAAAGTCATTCTGAAGCGAGTTGGTCCTTCAGTTAAATGTTGGGGGATTGAGTTTCCTACTTATTTAATGTGCAGTAGTTTGAGTGTCCTGTAAATCTCTCTTTTAAGGAGCTGTGAAATTGTGATGGAGTCATAATCAGTGAACTGCATTGTCTTCAGCTTGGAAAGCTTTTCAGATACTGTGGCATCTGAAGCAGCTTCTTCACTTTAGAGGTGCTTGGAGGGCGGTAGCTGGCAGTTTCTCATGGAAAATGACAAGCAGTGATGTTTGCTTAGCAGGAATCATCGAGTGAACTTTGATTTGTACTTCAACCTTTAAAAGGTTTTAAGGCCAGATCTCATTATTTTAGTGTTTGGGGCAGGCTTGGATGCTAGTGCAAGGTGCTGATTATACCAAAGCCGTGGCTGATGTTTAAAAATGCCAACAAAAGATCTCTAGTGCTTATGGAAAGCTGAGCAGTGAAGGGTGTCTGAGCAGTGCTTGCCCCTGGCCTGGGAGCACAACCAGCACCATGAGCACCACAAAGTCTGAAACCACTCTGCTGTGAAGGGGCAGCAGTGCTTGTCCTCGCTCCCTTCCATCTGCTGGAGTTCGTGGTTGCACTGCTGAGCATCCCTGTGGATCAGGAAACTGCACTGGCTAAAAACTGCCTCTACTAAGGGAAAAAAGAAGGGCAGCTTGGAGATGCATCACCTTCCTGACCCTGAGGATTGGATGTGGATGCCAGTGGAAGGAAGGGAGTGGGAACATGCAGCTGGGGCCAGGTGGGAAAAATGAGACTATTGTCTCTGCCCTTGGCAAACTAGATTTGTTTAAGCTGGTTGTGAAACCTTTCATTGTAGAAAAGCTCATCCTCATCCTCTCTTCTGGAGAGTTGACGTGACAGAATGTGTAATGGTGGGGTTTTAAGGAGGCCTGGGCTGCATTGGCAAGGACGGTTTGGGAATATCAGATACCTCTGACTCCTTTAAAGGATTTTACAACCACGGATTTCAAACCCGTGAGATGGGAAAGGGCTCGAAAGCATTTGTGTTCTTGGGAATTGTGTCAGCATCATTCAGTGGCTGATGCTGGAGGAGCTCCGCGTGCGCTGTGTCAACACGTAGAAGTTTTAAGCCAACATGTTTGATTTGCAGGTAGAGCAGCAGAGTGTACACGCTCCCTGCAGCTCAGTTGATGACTGCAAGTTCATTAAACCACCATATCTTAATTGTCTGCGACTTCTCCAGGAATGAAGACTGCTTGAAAAAGCACCATCTCTCGCACTTGGCTTCGTCTTTGCTTTGCAATACGTGCACATTTGCTGCTGCTTCAAACCTCTGGCTGAGATCCATGTATATAAGCATGTAATACATCAATTAATGAGCCCAATTGCTGTCCTCCTCTGGTTGCTGTGCAGTTTCAGGAAGGCCTTTTTGGAAGGCCTCTGATTTATTTCAAAGGCTATTGTCAACTTTGATATGGAGTGTTCCGAGTTGGGAGAGTTGCTAGATCAGGTTTTGATCCTTTTTCTTTCCCAAAGCCATGGAGCACTAACAGCTTTTTAGTTTCTCATGCAGCTTGGTCCAGGCTGTGTACTAATGTGCTAGTGATTAACTTGCAACCTTGCAGTGCCAAACTCTCCAAAGTTCACAGCCTGCCAAAATTGTGTTGTTCTCTTCAGGAGCTTTTGTATTCAATGCTGTGAGGAATTCAGACAGCCTCTTACTTGCAATTACATCTTTGTTATAAGCAGTTCTCTTAAACTCTTAACAAAAAGTATTGTTGATGGTTTTCCATGGTTCTTTTTCTCTGGATTAAATTAATGGCACTGAATAGCTTAAAAAAAAAAAAGAAAGTGTCTTTGAATCTTTCATTTATGTTCTGCTGGTTTGGAAATTGATGTAGCTTCTCTTCTCTTTGGGAATGACAAGAAGTTGCTGGAGCTGAGAGTGGAAAGACACCAATTCCTCAAGGAACACCCATCTTGTGAAGGTGGAAATGAGTGTTACCTTGTGGTGGAGATGGACACAGCTTTTATGTGTTCGTGAGATGGTCAGGACAAGCAGGGCTGGGGCATCACACAGCTCCGCCTTCTCCGTGGGATTGGGATCAGCGTGTGCTGGGAGCTGGCTGCTTCCAGCCCCTTTAAACTTGTTTAAAGGTTGTTTCTAACCTTGGTGTAATTGGGATCTAACACTGGGAAAGTCAGCTTGGGAAGCTCTTTGAAACAAGGTTGCTCTCTATGACTGTTAATGTGCTTCCACAGGGGCAAAAAACACCTAGAGGTCTTCCTTCTTCCAGCACTGGGAATGTGTGCCTGTGTCTTTCTTACAGCTTTCCTCGTGCAGGTTATAACATATCAGAGCTGCAGATTCCAGTACACCTAGGAGGACTTCACATTTGGGATAGGAGGAGGGGGAAATTTGATCTCCATTGTCAACCTTTGGCAGAAGATCTGCGTAACACACATTCTTCTGCATTTCTCAGTTTCAGTAGGTTAGAACTATGATCCTCAAGTCATGGTAGTGTTTGTCTTTGCTGTCAGATTGTTTCCATTAGAAGCTGTAAAAAGATAAAGATGGGTTTGGTTTGGTTTGCTGTGGTCATTTTAAAACACACACGGAGAGGGGGGAAGTGTTTCTGCATTCTTGTACTGATCTTTATCAGGCGCTTCTCAGGTTTTCCTTCAGCCTCTGACCACAGGCTGCCAGCTCGGCTCTGCAGGTTGTCCAGCAGCGGGATTCCTCCCTGGAAGGCTAAGCTAAATTCCCAACAGGTATCCAGCCCTGCCCGAGATCACTAACATGCTTTTGCAGAAGAGGTTTGTTGTCTGTTGGACTCTTAAAGCTAACTGGGGGTCAAAATTCAGTGGCTCTAGATGTAGTCAGCAGTCAGCTCCACTCGCTGCTGCTGGGAAGCCCACCTTGAGCCTGGGATGTTGTACATTAGCACTGTTCCCTGAATATCTTCTCTCTGACTCTTATATCATCTCCTTTTCTGCCTCAGTATTCCCCAGAGTTAGAAGAAGAAAAGCTAAACTTCTACTTTTTGTTGCTCATTGCCCAATGCTTGCTGGCATTGTGATGTCCTTGGCGTGCGTTCGGTTTAAATGGTCCATCTGATCCCCCTTAGAGTTGATTTAAAAAGTCTTGGAACTCCTCAGCACACACTAGTTCTTCTACTTGACCCTCTAAAGAATTTTTTTCCTTGACTTTTTTCTGTCCTGTATTTTCTTTTACAGCTAGAGTTGTTTTATTGTAAGCATTCATGGATTATGTACCCTGGCATGGTGGTTAACTCTGATTAAACACTGAGCCAGAGCCCTGTGAAACCAGTAGTTAAGACTAATGCATTCATGCAGTTCCTGCATTTATGTTCTCTGAGCAGAGGTTGGTATTAACTCTGAGCTAAAGCTCAAATCGTGCTATTCCAGAGTAAATAGCACTTTACATTTTAGAAGAATAAAAACATGTTTCCTGTTGTCACATATGGAACAACTTAACCGAACATCTTGCTCCAGCTGCCTCCGAAACCAAATACCTGGATCCTTGTAGTGATACTTGAATGTGGAAAACAGGTCATTGTAAATTAAATTGTTGTTTGAAACAAGCTTTGTTACTCAGAATTCCAGGTAAGGAAGAAGCTGATATACTGGAAGGGTTTTTTTTTAGGATGTTTCTGTATCACTGCACTTTCCAGCATTCTTTTTTGTCCTTTTCTTCTGTGACAATTCAAAACTAGTGTCTACTTCAGTAGAGAACTGAAGCTGTTTGTTGAATCTTTCTTCCTAAATCACTTTTAAAGTACCTGAAAAGGTTCTTAGAGCCATTTCAGGATCCCAGATGTGTTTCCATTTGATTTTGGGTGATGTGAGAGGGCTGGGACAAGCAGCTTCTATGAGGAAGCATTGAATCATGGAATGGTTTGAGTCGGAAGGGGCCTTAAAGACCATCTCGTTCCAGCCCCCAGGTTTCGTTGGTTGCTTGCATTTTATCTTTGTGGATTATTCAGGATCTTGGTTGATTTGTTTGGTAACTGCAGCATGTTGTTGGATTTGGCTGATCCAGTTCATTTTAAATGTTCATGAGCTACCAGAACATCTCTGAGGTTTATTTCAAACCAAGAGGTCTGTTTTTCTGTTTCAGAGGTACATGCCACAGGGTTCAACTATCAGAATGAGGATGAAAAGGTTACTCTTTCCTTTCCCAGTACTCTTCAGAAAGGTAAGAGCTATTTTCATGCTTTCAGCCATGTGTTTAAGACATTTGCACTTGGAAAAGGTGGAGTAGGACAGCTCTGTCTTCCCTGAAGTCTGACTGGGACTGCAGTGCTCCTTGGGGAGTCTGTTCACTATAAGTCACTTCGTGAAGCCTCTGGAGTGAAGATGCTGTTTCACTAGTGCTGATGTTTCCTTCCAACACCTGAGGTGACTAATTCTTTACATGCTCTTGGAAGTTAGGCTCAGAAGTTATTTGTGTTAGCTACTGAGGCTCTCTTTTCCTGTTACTACGAATGAGCTAACCTGAATTACTGCAGTATTTTTTTAGGCATCAATGTACTAATTCTTCTGAAACTGCTACAGTTTTGTGTTCTGAGAAGCTTGCTGATTGAAACTCGGCTCCTTGCTTTGAATAAAGCAGTTTTAGTTCATCCTGACAAATACAAATAGAAGATTTGTGGGTGATAGAATTTTCGTGTTTCATTCTATGGGATGTTGGTGTGATGCCTCCCTGATCAAGATCAGGCTTCCCCTTTTGCACTGAGAATAAATCTTGAGACTAATTGACTTAGAAGCTTGAACACAGCCAGTGCTCTATCTTGGCTCTTGGAGTACGTTTCACAGGATGCTGTTAAGTAGTAGCCACCTCTATATTTGCCAACGTTATTCAAAGGTAAGGACTGTAGGTTCAGACATCTCAGCTGGCTGGAGGGAGGTCCTCCTGGGTATTGCATTGTGTTTAGAAGATGAGCTGAGGCCTGATCAATGCTAAAATGCTGTGGTGAGTCTGGCTTTTCCTGCATTGCTCTGCTGGAGCTGCTTTTATGGAAGGAGAGTGAAGGCTTTGAGGGAGCTTGGCAAAAGAAGCGATGGCTGGGGCTGAGTTGAGGGGACATCAGCTGAGTGGCCTGGCCTGAAGGTCCAGACCAAATAAACGTTCCATTTGGCACATGTGAATAACAATGTCCCATCTGTTTCTGTTACAGGGACAGGGACACTAAAGATAGACTTTGTAGGGGAGCTGAATGATAAAATGAAAGGGTTTTACCGAAGTAAATACACCACCCCTACTGGAGACACGCGCTATGCTGCTGTCACTCAGTTTGAGGTATGGGCTGTGCTTCTCTTTGGGGGGGAATGTCATTCTTAACACAGGATTTACACTTAGAAGAAACAAAGGCACAATTTCCTTGCTTGAACTATACCCACTAGGTTAACTTGCTTTTAGTGTGGAGGTAATACTAAAACCAGCCTTTACATTGCGACTTCAAGGTCAGTAAATTCTGGATCTGGCAAATTCCCCAGCTAAGGATCATGCTGATGTGAGATGCATTGTCTATATCCAATAGCAATGTTTAAGAACAGCTACTTATTTAGATGTGGTCACATACCCCTGTATAACTTGCCTTTATGAAGTCTCTTTTATTAATAGGACACTCTGCCTTTATCTCAGTATCTTAATGACATCCCAAATCTGAGCCAGATTCTGCCTCAACTATTACATAAACCCTGGACATAACAATAGGATTTTACACCAGATTGTAATTCCATAGTTATCTGCCTGGTTACATAAAAGCAGGGAGCACTTCCCTGGTACAAGTGGAACATTTCATGGGCACAGTGTGCTGACAGAACACAACTAGGGGGTCTTGTGCGTACGGTCCGTGAACGCCTGGGTGCCCTCTCTGCTTCCACATGACTGAGCTTTGCTTCTGTCATGACTCTGCTAAATTCTGCTCAGCCTGTAGAATTCCATCAGAGCACAGAGTGCTTTTCAGCTGCTTTTTATGCTTTTTTCCTTTAAACCAAGAGAGAAATAAGAACAAAATGCTCTGATGCACAGGTCAAGAGTGTCAGTGAAGAGGCTCTACACCAATGACCAGCCAGCATTCACCCAGCTCCTTGCCTCTAAAACTCACTGTGTTTTTTGTCTCTGTGTCACTGCCACAATCTCTTGCCATTTGTTTGTTTAATGCTCTTTTATTTCCTTCAGGCTACTGATGCTCGCAGAGCTTTCCCTTGCTGGGATGAGCCTGCTATTAAGGCAACCTTTGATATTTCTTTGGTGGTTCCTAAAGACAGAGTAGCTTTGTCAAATATGGTAAGTTCTCCATGTGCAAATAAACAGTGTTTTAAATGAAGCTGTGAGAACTGATTATTTGAGACTTAATAGTGTGTGATGAGACTGTGTTGTCAGATCCTAGCCCAAAACCCAAACAGGTTGTACAAACCACAGTGGTGGTGGTTTAAAGAAGTCTTCGAATATGTGAAACCATGTGATGCTTGAGTAAGAGTGACTGGAAAGCAAAGAAGCCTTTGTGTGTTGATACAGCTGTTATAGCTACATAAGCACTAGAGAGAAATAAGCATGTTTTCTGCTCCAGCGAATTTCTGACCAGAACTGGGATAAAACGTGCAAGTAGCTGTATCCCTGTCACAGATATAGGTTGCTACTTGAAATATGGTGCGTGTGTCTCTAGATTACATTGCTGGAGAAGAGCAGGTCAGTTTAAATACAGACTTTTTCAATTCCAGTAGCTGACTTTCATAGTAAAAGCAAACCTCACCCACGTGGTTATGGGTTTTGACCACATGGTTGTGGTTTCTGTTTCTCTTCATCAGGGACTAGGTAGTGATAGGACAAGGGGTGATGGGCTCAAACTGAAACAGGGGAAGTTCAGGTTGGAGATAAGGAAGAAGTTCTTCCCTGTGAGGGTGCTGAGGCACTGGCACAGGGTGCCCAGAGTAGTGGTAAATGCTTCATCCCTGGCAGTGTTCAAGGCCAGGATGGGCACAGGGACTGGGAGCAACCTGCTCTAGTGTGAGACATCCCTATCCATGGCAGGGGGTTGGAACTGGATGATCTTAAGGTCTTTTCCAACCCAAACCATTCTACGATATAAAGTGAAAGCCTGATGTTTTACTGGGATGTGGGTAATACTCTCTTTGAAGGACAGCAGCTGATAGCTGCAATATGGAGTATGTATTCCCTAGTAATGGAATATAACCTCTGAAAATACCCTTCCATGGGTGACGGGGCGCTTCTTAGTTCGGAAGGGGAACCACATCATTTCATGGTCTGTACCTTTAAAATCATTCTAAGAGAAGTCCTTTCATTTTTAAATGCATGACTCATGCTGATGGAACAGTTACTCGAATGGGTTGTGTAACACAGTCCACTTCCCTGAGACTAACTGATTCCCTTTCCTTTGGAAGAATGTCATTGACAGGAAGCCCTACCCGGACGATGAGAACCTGGTGGAAGTGAAGTTCGCCCGTACCCCGATAATGTCCACCTATCTTGTAGCATTTGTGGTGGGAGAATATGACTTCGTGGAGGCCAGGTCCCTGGATGGTGTCTTAGTGCGTGTTTACACTCCTGTGGGCAAAGCAGAACAAGGAAAGTTTGCATTAGAGGTAAATGTGCTCAGGGTGACTTTGTTCCTGCTGCAGTGACCTCCACCAGCCTGGACTCCTCCTGCGAGTCCTCGCAGAGCTCATGAGGCTGCTTTTGTTTGCTTGGATGGCTCCGAGAGACTGGGCTTGGGATTAAACACAATGTCAGTTGTGGACAAACTGGTGTCCCTAATGACAAAAACATACGGTTTAGTTCAGCTCTGATTTGGTGATGTAGACTTGGGTCCAAGGATGGGATGGGAGCCTTCCAAACCATTGTGCTCTGGAAGCTGGGAATGGGGCTTCTGGAAGAAATCTTGTGTCTGCTGCTTTCTTAGGCCAGTTTCAGTCATAAATCGTTAAGTCTTGCCAATTGTTCTAAGTTAACATAACATTTCTCCTCTCATTTCTTACAGGTTGCTGCTAAAACTCTGCCTTTTTATAAGGACTACTTCAATGTTCCTTACCCTCTTCCTAAAATTGATCTCATAGCTATTGCAGACTTCGCTGCTGGTAAAGTAACTCACTTTATTGATGAACTGTCTTTTATTTGAATTGCAAACATTTAGGATGAGGTGTGTATCAATATCAATAAACCTTTGTATTTATTTTATAAAGGTGCCATGGAGAACTGGGGCCTTGTTACTTATAGGTATGCTGTTAAAATACTGTCTTTCCCCTCTTTGTTCACTAATTCTTGGAAGTAATTGGATTAGTTGTAGGCAGCTGTAATTATTGGGTATCATCCCAAATAAGACTGAGTAAATACCTTCAACTCTGACTGCAGTTTGGAGGATTTTGACTTCTGCAGCAGCGTGCGTTATTGTACAACCCTTAGGAAGGCAAGAATGAGTTAGTACAACTACTATCCAAGGGCGTGAGGGTTTGGAGTGTCTGGCAGCACTGCCTGTTCCACAGGAGAGCTTTCTTCACCCCTTTTTCCCCCTCCCCGTAAAAGTTAGGTACTCACTGACACAGCTGGAAGAGTTTCTTACTTTATGTCATAGGCAAGTTGGTAAATTCCAACCACTGTACAACCATGTGGAGATGAGTAAATGACAAAGCTAACTTGCCTTCCTTTTCAGTTTGCTTTTTTTTACCTTCATCTGATCAAGCTTTTGTACTTTTGCTTGATATGATTCCACTCTCTGTGCTCACTGTTAGGAAGCTTTTCCTTCCAGTTTGGACAACATTGCTCTTGTCACCTTTGGACCTTTAGACCTGGAATAGTTTGGATTTCTTCTGCTACTCTTTTTAATTCGGCCTTGAAAAATTGGAATGGAAATTTGAGCCCGGGTTTCAGCAAACAAATCTACTTGTCTGCTTAGCACAGTTCTGATGAAACCTAATATTTTACTCCCTGTAGAAAAAATACCCCATTTATCCTGGAGGAGTAGAATTTTTGGAAGCCTTTCTTACTTGTGCTGTTAATTGCCCTCCCCCCCCCCAAACTGTTTGGCACGCTTGCTCCATCCCTTTGGGAACAGAAGGTTGGCAGAACCTGCAGGCACCATCCCTTTTGAGATGCAGGGGGGGTTCTAGCTTGTGTGCCTGACCTGGGGAGTGCTTGTGTGTGTATGTGTGCCCTCTCTGGAGACTTGTGTGAGTGTAACAGAGCTGGTTGTGCACTTGGAAGAGCTGGAATTCCTTTGTGGATGAGGGAGGGAGAGAAGACTTGCTGTGCATACATCACGCAGTGCAAAGGGAGTTCAGTTCCTAGGTTATGTAGGTGAGCTCTTAGAAATAGAGGAAAAAGCTTTCTTGTTCCTGCCTGGGTTTTTGCACTTGTCTTCTTGCATGCCATAAGGAATTACTGCTCCAAAGCATTCCAACAGCTGTGGAACTTACCAGAGTAATGTCTAAACTGAAACAGCTTTTGGTTTTCCTCACTTTTTAGCTTGCTTAGGTCATTTAACCTACTTTTGATTGTGGTTTGTTTTCCCCTGGGCATGTACCACTCTGTTCAGTTTTCCTTCTCTTTTAAATACAGGGAGACTGCATTGCTCATTGACCCCAAAAATTCCTGTTCTTCATCTCGCCAGTGGGTTGCTCTGGTTGTAGGACACGAACTTGCTCATCAGTGGTTTGGAAACCTTGTGACCATGGTATCTAACAGCTACAAGTTCTTTTGGTTTTCTTTGACATGTGCTTCATGTGTGTGTTCAAGTGCCCCTTTATAGCAGGCGTGCTATATTGAAGAGAAATATTTCCCTAGTGCTTTATTACCACTTCTTTACCAGTGTGTTCTTTACAAGTATTCCTAGATCTTTGCCATGTGAAGTGATGTTCAGTTGGTTGAATACAGTCCCACCCATCCATGGGAATGATCCTGGCTAGCCAGGTTACTTGGAAGCAAGAATCCACTGTTTTCCTTTCAGGGAGGCACAATTCACTCATCAGGCTTTTTGTACCACGCAGGCATAGCAGTACCAGCTCAGCCTTGCAAGTTATGCTAGTCCAGTAGCTGAACAGTTGCTCAGTAGTAGCTCATCTGAATTACTCTGGATATCTGGGGGGCTGCCTGGCTGAACACTTTGGTATTTAAGTCATTCTGCTGGGAATAAAAGTGTGTGTGAACCAGCAGGACTGAAATCTGCAAAGAGATTCCATTTAGTGCTAAAACCTGAACCCTCCCTCTGTCAGCTTCTGCTGTTCACAAATGGCTTCAGCTTACTCCATTAATTAGATCCAACATTCCTTTTCCCGAGACCCTGCAAGCAGGTGCTTGAATGGAATACTTCACAGGTTTGGGAGTTCCTTGTGTTGTAAGCAAGCAGTGTGTTTGGTAAAACATGCATGGCTTCTGCAGCCCCAAATCAGCACTGTTCCTGCCAAGTCTAACTTCATTTGGAATCTCACTTGTACCTGATGCATTCCCCTCCATTCAGAGTTTGTAAAACTTAAGGGGAAGGCAGGTTTTGGGTGCTGATTACTTCTTGGGTTGAGGACTTCTTTATAGAGAAGAATTTGTGCTTACAAGTGTTACCTGCATCTCTGATTTGCACCAACCTAGGCCCTTAACAGCTTATTTTTGCTGCAAACTTATTGTGGATTAAATGAAACTGTTTGGAATCTTGTTCTTTATTCTGCCATCTCCTCTTGCCAGGAATGGTGGACCCACCTCTGGCTGAATGAAGGATTTGCCTCCTGGATTGAGTACCTGTGTGTAGATCACTGTTTCCCTGAGTATGACATCTGGACTCAGTTTGTTTCTGCTGATTACACGCGCGCTCAAGAGCTTGATGCCTTAGACAACAGTCACCCTATTGAAGTAATTCTATCTTCTTCTGTCTTCTGTTTCCACTGGGGTTTTTGGCATTTGGGTAAACGTTGAGCCAAAGCATTGCAGCAAAGTCTATTCAGTTGAATACCAAAACCTGAGTTAAGGTTTGTTTAACCTATAAACCAATCCTAACCCAGCCATGTGTGGAGAAGTTGAACTGCCAGGGTGCAGAGAACCCACTAAGATAATTTAGTGATGGATGTGCATGTGCTTTCTACAGGGAGAAGTCAGCTCCTTAAACACTAGAACAAGCGAAATCAAAACCTTAGAGCAGTTAAAATTGTTCTGACTGTGAATTACCCCATTTCCCACAGGTTAGTGTTGGCCATCCCTCCGAAGTAGATGAAATATTCGATGCTATTTCTTACAGCAAGGGAGCATCTGTAATCCGAATGCTACACGACTACATTGGTGATGAGGTAAAAAGATTGTTGTTAAAAAGCCAAATGTAGATTGTCAAATCTTTTCATAGTTAAAAAAAAAAAACCAACCAAACCCTTAAATCTGTATTTTGAAAACTTCTCTCCAGTTTGTATTTGGGCTCTATTTGAACTTACCAAGGAGAAATAAGGTAGTGGGAAAATACAGAAGGAGTTACAGATGTACATACTGATCCTAAGATTCCTTGGCTGATTCCTGAATGCACATGCAGTGGGGAGGGAGGATTGAAAGCCCTCCCTGTGGTGCCAATACATGTTCAATTGTGTGTTCCCAGGACTTTCGGAAAGGAATGAATCTGTATTTAACGAAGTTCCAGCAGAAGAATGCAGCTACAGGTAACTGGTGGTGGTTATATGCTTGGTAGAGAAGGGATTTCTGGAGACATTCTCTAGTGCTAAAGTGATGGATTCTTCAACAGCTGCTTTTCCACCCGAAAGAACTGAAATGCAAGGAAATAATTGGCTTGTTCCTGGTTTTATACGATGAGTCCCGTGCACAGCCAGAATTCCTCCTTTAAGGGCTCTCAGGAGTATGTGGCTGGGGTAATCTGCAAGAGCTGCATTTCCCCTTGATAACCCCATCTGTGTGCTAATCTAATATAGAAATGGAGTACGTAGATTTGCCAAATAAGCCTTTTGCAAGCTTCCTTTTGCAGTATTGATTGCATGTATGATTAAACAGTTCAAAGTCTTCCCTAACATCTCGCAGTGCTTTCTTTCCTCGAACCTTTTTTGTGTAGCAGGCATAAGGGTGGAAGTGGAACATCGTGCTCTAAGAGCACAAACCAGCCCATGTTGTTCCAGCAGCTCGTGGCATAATAGATGAAAAACTTCAGGGAAAGATTTTTCTATTTACCACTTTGAATCTTTGATGCTCATTTGTCACAATGTGTGTTGATTGCATTTTTTGAGTCGTAAAGAAGATTTCTTCTCCTTCTCTCCCCCCATGAGTCATTTAAACTAGTGCCTTTTTCTTGCCTATCATCTGCTGTGATTTGATAAAAGCACAACCCAAAACATGAAGGACAAACTGGAGTAGCAATACAGCCTCCACCCTCCGGTGCCCATAGAGTGTCCCTTGTAGTGCCTGATGTGTCAAGACTCTGGGAGTCCTTAATCAGCCTTTTCTTCTGCAGAGGATCTCTGGGAAAGCCTGGAAAAAGCTAGTGGTAAACCTATTGCTGCTGTGATGAACACATGGACCAAACAAATGGGATTTCCACTCATTTATGTGGAAGCTGAACAGGTAAATACAACTTGAGTGTTTTTCAGCACTTCAGATTGCAAGTTCTGCCTCTAACTGTGTTTTGAAACCAAGTTTAGCAGCCACCCAGTTACTTGAAACCCTCTCTTTGATCTGGAAGCAGCACAGTGGGTCACTGCTGAGTGACAGGTCTGTTCTGAAGGGAGGGGAAGTGCAGCTCACTTGAGGAACCCAGTGTAAAGGGACATGGAGTTATTCCACCAGCTCTGGATCATGTGCTGGGAGTTTGCTGACGTTGCCTCTTGGTTCTTTGTGTGTGAAATGTGTGTTGGGGGGAGGGAATATCTGACTTAGCTCCCTTTGCCACACGTTTTGCTTCTCCCTCCAGTTCAGTTGTGCTTATTCTACAAGATTGCAGGGTGATTGAGGATTACTGCCTGGAGGCTGAAGTCAGACAACTTCA